GCTAGCTTTGTCCAGTCCCTCGTTTGGCTTACTCATACGTGTGCTGTGCAAGCCATGTATGATCTTTGGTTGTTGTTGTGGACGTCATTGCCTCGTTTGATGCTGGTTCCGGCTTTTCTTCAATTAATTCAACGTTCAACTCAATTAACGTCCGCCGCCTTCTCTCTGCCGCCCAAGCCCCTTCACCCTCATCACCCACACCCCCACACACACCCATCACCCTCACCTTACCCACCCACATCAATGCCAAAGCCCAATCGCCATACCTACTGCCATTTCGCCCGTCCCGTCACCCACGTCACGACCCCCCTCATCCCCCCTACCATACTCATTACCACCCGTCACCACAAACGCTGCGACTGCTGGGGAGAGAGAGGGAGGATGAGAGGGATGTGACGAGGGAGACGGATAAATGATCCATGCATAGCGAGCAAGCCAGCTGCTGCGTATCACCATCGGCGCCGGATCGCTGCCGGGCGGGGCCCAGTGGGCGACAGCCCAAACGAGCGAGCACACAACCCAAGTTCGAGGCCGAGGTCGAGGATGAGAGCGCAAGATCGAGATCAGAAGGACGAGCAGAAGCGGACTAGCGAGTACAATGACGCAGACACTGTTGGTCTGATGCACATGAATGTCATCGTCGTCGTCATCGCCATCACCATCACCTCCACAGCCAGTCGCCAGCCCACCCCACCCACTCTTCTTCACCGACATCGACACCAACTGACGATGGCGCACCCATGACCACTTACTAGCCTGATCTTACTCACCCTCCCTTCTACCCTCCTCCCTCTCGCCCCGCGATTCCCCACAAGGACGTCGTGTCTACTCTTTGGTGCTCTTTACTCAAAGTCGCCCTTGGTGGCGGGTACGAGGACAAGGATGTTGACGACGACCGAGACGAGGCCGGCAACAAGTCCAAAGACAACGAGGAAGCACGAGCCGTAGTAGTAGAACGGCGACTTGTCGGCAACAAACTTGTAGAGACGGATGTAGAAGAGGGCCGGCAGGATGTAGACAATGGTGACGCCAAAGATGGAGCCGTTAAACCCGAGGACGACGCCGATGTTGGGCATAGCGATGGCAAGACTGTTGGTGATGAGGACGATGCAAAGCGTGAGCGCCATTAGGCGCTTGCGCGGCGCGTCGACGGCGGGCGATGAGGCCGGGAGGAAGAGGAACGAGTCGAGGTTCTTGCGGAGGGCAAAGTGGACAAGCGGGTAGGAAAAGATAAGGACAAAGCCGAGGGCGAGACGGGCAACGAGAACAGGAAGCCACGACGCCGGAAAGTTGTTGAGAATGTCCGACTTGGTGTCGCGGCCAAACTGGTAGTAGCCAACTGAGGCGTAGGCTGCGTAAAAGCAAGGCATGTCATGCAAGCGTACGTAATAACCCTATGCATGCGGCTCGTCGATCGGTTCTTGAGCTCCTGGTAGAACGAGAGCGCATTGTAGTGGGCGGTGAACGAGACAACAAGCAGTGGAAAGGCGACCATGAGCGACGGCTTGAGGTGGACAAGCTCCACCGAGCTTGATGTACCGGCCGTGTGGTAGTGGTCGACAAGAACACCGAGCGTATACGTCACGCACATCAGCGCCAGAAACGACGAGAACTTGAGAGCATCCATCTTCTCAAGCAGCGAGAGAGGGAGCATGAAGCAAATGGCGACGAGGGCAATGACAAAGTCGCGCCGACACAGGAGATTGTCATGGGCAAGCCAGTGCTCAAAGACCTTGGGGATAAAGTCGCCGACAAGGACGCCGTAGCCAATGCACGTTCCCGACGTGTACAGCATGAGCACCAGCTGGCACACCTTGGACATCATCGGGCCGTACGCCTCGACGGCAATGTCGCGGTACGAAAAGAGGCCTGTTGCGTCCGAGAGCCGGACCAACAGCCGAAACGAGAACATCGAGAGGCAGCATGTGAGGAGCAGGAATGCCCCTCCTGCAACCGTGCCTGCCGACCGCAGCGCGTACGGCAGCGTGATCACGCCTGCGCCCACAATCGTGTTTGTCAGGTTGAACCAAGACGAGATGATCGACGCGTTGCCCGGCGGTGGGACCTTGCGCGTCGGCCGCGAGCCCACAAGCGACGATGCCTCTGACAGTGCATTCACCGATGGTGCTCCACTGCAAGCACGTTTGCGCAGCACACAGTACATCACGTCCACCGAGCCCATCATGCCCGTCCACGCCAACCAGCACACAAACACACACACACACACACACACACACACACACACACACACACACACACACACACACACACACACACACACACACACACACACACACACACACACATACCGCACATACGGAGTATACAGATATACACACATACATACACGTCAGTCCCTCCATCCCCATCGCCACTGCCCTACATGCCATCCTCACCCACACACCTTCCCGCCACCCCCCCCCCCCCTCCCCCTTCCCCTGCCACGTACTAATACTCAACAGGGTTGGCAAGAGATGGTGTAGCCCTCATACCTTCCTTCTCCCCTCGGGTCTGAAAACAGGGGACAAGTGCTGCAGGTCGTGGTCGTGGCCGTGGCTCTGCCTCTCTGCGGTGACGTGCGAAGGTGGCTGCCGAGTTGGCGGGACAAGAGAGAGAGAGCAAGGTCACGCATGATCTTGGCCACGCCAACACACTTTCGGTTACCCGGCCGAGCAGTCGCTCCGCTGGTTCGATAGCTTAAACGCTCCTTGCATTTACTGCGCTGGCCTTCGGTGCCCGCACATCATGCCAATCGGCAACGTGATCTTGTACACACGAGCAATCACCGCGTTCTCGTGGGATCAAGGGAGTAGCTGGACACCCAGAGGACGCCCGCTGTCGTCATCGTTGCAGATCGTCGTAGATCGTCGTTATCAAAGGGTGGATGGGGGTGGCTTCCCGCTCCTCTGGAGCTGTCTGTGTCGACGAAACCGGAGCTCGAAGCCTAAGCCGGGTGCCCAGCCAGCGGCAACTGTTCAACACTTGACGTGACGCAGAACTACCATCACTCCATACCAACACCCGCGCAGCACACGATAATCACATCCAGGCCACACTCACGTATCGTGGTCTCTCCCCCTACCCCCCCCTCCTCTCTCTTCTTCGCCAATTGGACTGCCACGGCCCGACTCACTCACCGCACGCCGCCGATCTCTACCGCCTCACCTCAGCAACCCCACGCCCTTACCCGCCCTATCCCTCTCATTCCTCTAGAGTGCTTCTGTCGCTGCATATGACCGACTCGCTCTGGCCGACAGGCTACGCTCTCATCCGCAACCTGCTCGCGCCCGATGTGGTTGCTGCTGCAAGGCGACAAGGGCGAGTGGTTGTCGATCGCTACGCAAGAGCGGCCTTTGGAGCGAGCGACGCTGCAGAGAGGGCCGCTGCTGCTGATACACTCGGTTGTGTCTTTGAGATTCCTCCGCTGATGGATCGACTCTCCACCGATTCGACCGACGGCGCAGCCGATGACAGCAGCATCGACTGGGCGGCGTATGCCGCAAAGCGTGCGAGTGTTGTCGGTGTCGCCGGCGCAGCAGCCGATGCTCTTGGACAATGGCTTGTCCATCCCGAGACTTTGGCCCGTGTTCGGACCTTGCTCTACGGCGCGTCCGAGCTGCCGCACTGTCCGAGTTGCGGCGCTTGCGCCCGCATCCTCCTCATCAACGAGCAGTTTGTGGTCAAGCCACCTGTGGATGCGCTTGGCGGACGAGGCGAAGCTTGCACCTTTGGCTGGCATGCCGACGGGCAGTACGCCGAGAGCGTCACCGACGACGATGACGATGCTGATGCCTGTCGCGACACGTCATGCCCGCGGCTCGCGGCTTCGGGCGCCTTTGTCTCACTCTGGATCGCTCTCGTCGAAGTGAGCGAGGAGAACGGCAGCCTTGTCCTTGCCTCGCCGCTGGCTGCAGACACTCTGCCGCCGCCGACGCTCCTCGGATCGACCCCCGAGTATGAGGACGAGTCGCTGGGTGTGCGGACGTTTGTCGGCGACGCCGGTGACGCGGTCGTCCTCTCCCCAGACATCATCCACTGCTCGACTCCCAATTACTCGAGTTGCGAGAGGCCTGTGTACATGGTCCAGCTTGGCACTCGGTCTTCGCCAGCACCCAACGCGCTGCGTGTCCGGATAGGCTGATGGAGAGTCCATGTGCATGCATGCGCTCGACATACGCTTCGTTCATTCACTGCGCTGCGTTGTAGGCCTGGGCTGCCTCAAACTCGGCGCGAGCCTCGGGTGTCATCAGGTTCTTCTGGCGCTCCATGGTCCGCATGGTCTCCTCGGCATCCTTGGCCTTCTCGGCCTCGGCGCGGCGGGCAAGCTCGTCAAGCAGCTCGGTCGGATTGTTCTGCAGCGCACGGACGAGGTGAGTGGCTGCCTCGGGCTGGTTCTCAAAGAACGCAGCCATGCCGTGGACCACAAATTCAAAGTCATGGATCCCGTTGATGGGAAAGTTGGCGCCATTGTCCTCTACAAACTCGGGCGCGTCGTCACCGCCGTGGATCATGTCTTCGTAGCCCTTGTACTCTTCGCGGAGATGCTCAAGGTAGCGGATCTGCTGCAGGTCAGGCGCATCGTCATCATCCTCGACGCCGGCCTCCTGTGCCCAGTCGATGTCCTCGTCGAACACAAAGTCGTCGCCGTCCATCCCGAGCTCCTCGCGCCGGGCCTCCAGCTTGTCGATCTGCTCCACAAGCGAGACGCACATCTGGAACATGCCGTCGAGCAGCGACGGAAGAATAGCCTGGAAGGCCTCTGGGTACTCGCCGATCGGTGCCGAGAGAAGTTTGGTGATGCTGAGAAGCACAATCTTCTTGTCGTCGAACCGCGAGAACGAGTCCCAGAGCGCGTTCCACACCTGGAGGAACTCGTCCAGGAACTGGTTGTCGACCAGGATGCGAGCCGTAAGGACCGGGTTGTACCAGAACGCCATGGCCACAACCTCGACGCACTGGACCCTGAGTGCCACCTTCTGGCTCTTTGTCAGACGCGCGAGCGCCATGCCGATGAGCGGCTCGACGTAATCGTCGATTCCGTCAGGCAGACACTGAAGGACGACGTGTGCAAAGAGGCACCCGTACTGCGCGTCGTACTCGGCCACGTTGTCATCGTTGAGCAGCCGGTTGATCACGTCCAGTGTGGCCTCCAGGTACTGGCCCTCGGCCCGCGTCACAAACTCCTGCGGCGCCTTGGCAGCAAAGTTGCACACCACCGGCAGCAGCTCGCGAGAGTAGTCAAACGCCCACTCCTGGTGCGCAGTGAAGAACCGCCCGAGCATTTCCCACATGATCTCCGACGGCGACTCGGTGTACGTCGTCAGTGTCGTCGACATGGCAAGCACCTCCTCGAGCAGATCGAGGCCGACAGGCGTTGTCAGCCGCACCATCATTGGGTACATCACGGCCTCGAGCTGCGGGTAGAGCTCGTCGTAGTACTTGAGCGTGACAAGCAGCGCGTTGAGCGTCCGCGCGCAGTTCATCGACGCGAGGCCAATGGCGTTGCCGCCAAACACGTCCTCGTCGTCCATGTCCTGTGCGTTCTTCTCCTCCTCCAGCGAGCGCTCGAGCAGGTTGCACAGCGACTGGGCAATCTCCGTCGCCAGCGAGGCCACCGACGCGCCGAACCGAACAATGATGCTCTCGAGCGCGTTGACCAGCGAGTCTGACTCGATCTCGCCCATGAGCGAGAGAAGGAGCTCGAGGACGTCGCCCAGAATCGGGACCACATACTCGTCGCACCCCGGACGCTTGATGAGCTTCTGCAGAGTGAGCCCGGCCGAGATCCGGACAGCAAGGTCATTGTCACGCGCCGCCACAAAGACCTGCTCGAGCAGGTGCTGGTGGAACTCGGCCGAGGTATCCATGCGCCAGAACGCGCCGAGGCACTCGGCGCCGCGCAGCCGCAGGAACAGGTACGGCGAGGTAAGGTCCGACACCACGTGCGTGTTGAGCAGCTCCTCCAGGCCCTTGGCGTACTCGGAGCCCGCCATGAGCTTGGGCGCCACCGCCTGAAGCGAGAGCAGCGCGCCACTCTTGGCCCGCGCCACAGACTCATCCCCGGGGTTTGCAGCATACGCCTCAAAGATGTGCGCGGCGTACTGCGTCACAAGCGGGAGGCCCCACTGCGGCCGGACCTTGGCCAGCTCGACGATAAAGTTGACCGAGGCTGTGACTGGCGAGATATAGTCCTCGAAAACGTTGCGCGAGCGCATGACAAAGTACTTGGGGTCATCGCTCCACTCGGCCAGATCCTCATCCGAGATGATCAGGAGCGGGAAGAGAACAGAGGTGTACAAGTCCTGGATCGAGTCCTTCATCGGCTGGAAGGTCACCGCGTAGCGGATGCACGAGTTGAGGTACTCGAGGAGCTCGCGGATGACCAGCGACGAGAGCTGCCGCTCACCATTGGCGTACTCGAAGAGAATCTGCTGGAAGAGGCCCGCCAGCTGCGGCGCGAGCTGGTGGAGGAAGAACTCGGCAAACGGCTTGTCGTCCTCGTTTGCCACAAACGCAGGCTGCCCGTACCGCTGGAAGAGCCGGTTGACGATCTGCAGCGCCTCACGCGCAATGTCAAACTGGGCATACTCGTTGATGTCCGTCTCGGTCGCCTCGGCCTCGCCGGGCATCACCTTGGTCTGCACCGTGTTGGCAAACAGGCCCGTCCACGTCGTGAGCACCTCCGGATCGATGAGGCACTCGGGCTGCCGCAGCTGGAACGTGCACCAGTACGTCTGGAGCACAAGCTTCTGCAGCCGGAGCGTCTCCTCCGTCGGCGAATCCATCTCGGAGAGCGCAGCGTACATGGCCGCAAGCTGCGGGAAGAACCGCGCCGCGAGGAGGTCAAACGGCTTGCGCACGTTGCTGCGCCGGTACTCAAACGACCGCGCAATCTGGAAGATCGCAAGCGTCGCTCCAAGGATCCCGTCCGACTCGTTTGACTGCAGGAAGCCCTCAATCTCGTCCATGATTCCGGGCATGTTGTTGGAAAGTCAACCTTGACAACCTCATGGAACACAATCTCGAGGTGCGACCGGATGAGCTCGGGCGTGTGAACAAGAGCCTTGAGAATCGACTGGCGAAGGTACGCCCGCGACTCTTCATCGATGGCCATCTTCTCATCGCGTGCCTCTGGCGCGTCCCAATACGACCGCGCAATGTTCTTAAGCATGATGACAGCCGGCTGGCGGACTTCGAGACCGAGTTCGTTTGACGCCGAGAGTTCAAAGAGGCACGCCACAAAGCCACCTTGTGCCGCAAACTACTTCCATGCGTGCCAGTAGAGGGGATCCATATGGCATACAACATAGCCGCGAGTGAGTCGGTAGGCGGTGTGCAGAGTCGGTGGTGGTGGGGCAGGGGTGGTCATGGACGGTAGGTGGGGAGGAGGGGGACGGGGGGGGATGCCTCCGTGGATGGTCGGCCACTTTGGCTTGCTCTGTTGGCATTGGAAAGTCGGCATGTGGACGTACATGGCTCACAAGTCGCTCCTCGGCACGCTGGCCCACTTGACGATCATTGGAGATTGTTTCCGGCAGCAGCTGGCACACCTCATCCACATCAAAGGGGAAGTTCATGATGTCTCCGTTTGAGTTGGGTGGTTGAACGGCGACAAGTTCTGCACGCGGCGCTCGGGATCAATGCCACGGCTGACTGACGCGGGTGATGTTACGGATCAATGGCGCTGACGTCGTTGCCGTCCTCGGTCACGCTCTCGCTACCATCGCCACTGCTCACTGTGGCGGTCGAGTCAGAGAGGCGGTCGATGCCGGCTGTGAGGGCTGCCACGCGGTCGACGTCGGGCGAGGCCTGAGCAGAATACGCGGCAAGGGCCTGCTCGTAGAGCTCGCGGGCACGAAGAGCCGAGCCGACGCGCTCGTGGGCCTGGGCAGCGGCAGCGGCGGCGGCGGCCCAGCGGGCTGGCGCGCGATCCGAAGACGGGGTAAGGATGGTGAGGGCGGCGTTGGCGGCGACTTGGGCGGCACGGGCGTTGGCATCCTGGTCGCCGACCGGGCGGGCGAGCGCCAGCTCGGCAAAGGCCGCCAGGTTCTTCCCGAGCTCGGCCGTTGCGCCCTGTGCAAACTCCATCTTGAGATAGAGGCGAAGCGAGCGGAGAAAGTCGCCCTCGAGCACATCGGCCTCTTCAAAGGTGAACAGATCCTCGAGCGCGTCGTTGGCCGCCGCCGCCATAAACTCCTCCACCACCGCCATGGCCGCCGGCATAGCCGCGCGCATGTCAGCCAGCACCTCGCTCCGCTCGCTGTCGCCGAGCACCATGACAGGCCGCTCGCGGTAGAGGCAGAACGCGGTGCCCTCTTCAGACTCGGCCGGCCAGTGCTGGCAAGCGCAGACCATCGGCTCATACGCGTTGGTGTCGACACGCAGATTGCGGTTGCGCGACTGGCATGTCTGGGCGCACGCGGTGCAGACACGTGGCACACCGTCGCCGCTCCTGCCAGCTGCGCCGTCGCTGGTCGGCCCACCGATGCCGATGAAGAACGCCGGCTGCTCCACAGGCGCGTCGCCGAACAGGACCCGTGTGCATGTGTTCGACCACAGCTCCGAGGCTGTGCCGGCATCGTACGGCATGGAGCCGAGCGGCGGCGAGTTGGACCTATTCGCCGCAGGGTGTGAGATCTCTGCGCGGTCGTCCATGACATAATCAAACTCGGAGAGGCCCGAGCCGAGCCCGCCGCGGCCGCCAAACGAGCTCCGTCCTCCGCGGCTCGACGACATGCCTGGGATCGAGCCCAGCGGGCGCGAAGCATTGGCCGCCGCAGACCCACCTCCGCCCATCGCTCCTCCGCCCGACGTCGCTGCCGACGACGACGGCGCGCTCCGCCTGCCAAAGTTCTCCAGGAACGACGGGACAGCAATCTCGAGCGAGTTGCCGCACGATTCGAGGAACGACCGCGCAAACTCGATCTCCACATCCTCGCCCACAATGGCCAGAAAGTTGAGCAGGGTCTCATCCGGTGACGGTCCACCACTCTCCCCAGCAGCAGCTTCAACATCAGCACCGGCCCCGCTCTGGGTGCTTCCCACGTCCGACTCGGCCACCGCATCGCCAGCACCTCCATCTCCAGCGCCAGCGCCAGCCCCTGTCGAGGCTGATGTTGTCGTCTGCATCTCTCCACAGTCGTCAGCAGCAGATGAAGCTGAGATCGATGGTGTGGCAGACGGCGATGTTGTGGCAGAGATTGAGGTCGCGGCGGCAGCGTTCGCCTGCCGGCTCCTGCTCTCCTTCCACAGCATGTAACCAACAGCGGCTACACCAGCCACACCAGCTCCCACGAGGACAGTCCCAAGAACAGCCTTGCTCCCTTGGTTGGACATGATTGTCGAGCCCTGGTCTTGCTACAAGACGTGTGTCGCTCGTCCACGGCCACAACTGTGTCGCTGCCCCCCCCCCCCGCTCGAAGCTTGGCCTTCCGTTCCATTGCACTCGGCGGTTGGCGACCTGTGGATTCGCCCAACCCAGCGGAGCCATATGCATGGTCTGGCGTGGTGTATGGAGAGCGCTGGACTGCCATCAGTCTAGTTGGATAGGCAGATGGGGGCTGGATGAAGGGGTGGGTGGATAGTATCGGGGTTAATCGTGAGCTGGACATGGATAAGACGAGCAGAGAGCAAAGACGGCCCAACTCGGCGGAGCCATGTGCATGGTCTGTCATCCGCCATCAGATCAGATGGGCAGACAAAGGTAGTCTGATTTCTGCCCGGTACTACATTGTCGCAGCAAGGTAGTATCGGGCTTGATGTGTCACCGAACATGAACGCGGGCACTGCCCCTGGCCTGGCATGTGCAGTCAGGACAGTCAGGACTACTGCACACCCGCACACCTCTCCCCCCCTCATCGCCACCAGTACACTACCCACCATGGGCGTAAGTCTCTCACGGTCTGTACGTGTGTCTGTGCAGGTGGGTGCCAAAGCTGGACGTACAACAATGGGCTTTCCTCTGCGAGCTGGACAAGTGGTTGAGGGGAGGGTGCTGCTGTCGGGGCCAGAGGCCAACGTCAAAGCTGCGAGTCCGTCCATCCGATTGAAAGGCGAGTCAAACTACACGTGGAAGGAGACCAGCAATCATGGCAAGACGAGGTCGACCGTGACTCGATCCATCTCATCAGACTTGGTTGATGCTTTGGTCAAGACCGAAGACTTTGTGGATACTCGCAGCGGAAAGCAGACGATGACCAGGTCCATTCCATTTGCTGTCAGGCTGCCAAACTCGCTCCCGCCGTCGATGAAGTGGGCCAGCTTCGGAGAATCGCGAAGGGCGAAAATAAGCTACGCCATTGTCGCCACGCCTACCGCAGAGTCGGTCCTTGACTTTCTCCGGACGCCCAAGTTTGAGGCGCCACTCATCGTCTGGCCCTCGCTCCAGGCCCGTGTTCAGCACATCGAGCAGGCTAGGCCGATCAAGGAGGTCGCCCAAAAGACCTTCTTCTTTCACCATGACACCGACGAGATGACGGTCGAGATAGATTCAAACGTCGTTCCGCGTGGTGGTGTCGTCTCAGGCAAGCTCCGCTTCGAGCGGTTTGGTGACGAGACAAAGACCCCGTCCGAGATGGACGTCACCAAGTTTGTTGTCCACGTCGAGCACCGATATAGAGCGAGGGGCTCGACGCAGGCTACCTTTGTCCTCGGTGGCACCACCGTCAACGCCGACAGCATCAACGAGACCCATGATCACAAAGTTGCGGACTCGGCCAAGGCCGCTGATGCTGGCTACTGGTCGCCGCGTGCCACCGCAGGCAAGACTCGACGGCGACGCTCCGCTGCCGAGCTGCGGGCGCTCGAGGCCGAGCGGGAAGCTGCTGTAGCCGCCGCTGCTGCCTCACGCCGTGCCATGAAGCAGAGGTCCGTCATCGAGGTCCCGTTCTCGTTTGGCATCGACAAGCCGGTTGGCAAGTACGCCGGAGTCGACGCCAGTACCGACCCGATCACCATCTGTTCCTCGATCTCAGTCAAAGCCGTGTACTCGTCGATCTCGCGGATGTCTCTCTCCACCACCATCCCCATCCGGGTCATCTCGCAGCTTTGTCACGATGACTTTAACCGTTAACAGCGAGCGCAGTTGCTCACACGACGGCCGATCTGCCTCGCACGGCTCGACCTCGGTAGTTTGCGCCTGCCTCCGCATCGATGTTGTCCACCAGCCCGTATCGCCATCACCCATGACTTCCAACGCTTCCACCTCCTCCTCTTTCCACGCCCACCAGACCACATACATTCACACAAGCAATCATCACCACTCTCAGTGCCTCTGCCATCACACCCGGCGGCCACCTTGACTCGCCCGCCTCCTGTGTGCTGGTACACCAAACACACAACCCACCCCACCCCACTCCAATACCCCCGCACCCCCCCCCACCCTACACACACACACACGCACACCTTTATATACACCTTCATCCATGTCCAAACCCATGGACACAGCTCCCAAGACCGAAGACAACGGAGACCATGCCGGTGGTAGTCGTCTTGGTGGTGCGGGTGCAACAACGGTGGCGGCAAAGGCAGCCGGACGGTACGTTGTGCTCGCCGAGCCCAGAGAGGACAAGGACGAGGAGGATGACATGGATGGGGCAGGGAGTGCACCTTGTGGTTGTGGGTGAGCGTGTCCACTGACCTATATCGATGGCTGGAACGGATGAGGGCGTGCAGAGGAACGGGGCGCAAGGTCGGTGTGGGCGATGCGGACAAGTTCATGGTGAGCCCGGCGGAGAAGGCCATGTGGGCCATGAAAATCAAGGACTTGGAGACAAGGTTGGAGTCAGCTGCGGTGGAGGTCGGATCGCTGAAGGATGAGAACGAAGAGCTGAAGAGAATCAACGAGGAGATCGAAAAGACGGCGGCTGCCAATCGGGCGGCGTGGAAGATCCTGCACGAGGAAAAGGACTCTCACATCCAGTTTCAGACTGCCCGTGCAGAGCAGCTGAAAGAAGAAAAGGCACAGCGAGTGGCTGAGCTGGAGCTCAAGGTCGAAGAGCTCGAGCATCAGGCGGCGATGGACATGCGGCAGGCCGAGGAGAAGATCCGAAAGCTGATGCGCAAGATCGAGGCCACCATGAAGTTTGTCGAGGTCCAGCACCACCTGGAGAACGAGCTGGCGACGCTGCAACAGCAGCGGGCAACCGAAAAGGTGGCGTTTCAGAAAAAGTACGAGGAGCAAGACTACCAGCACCTCAAGGCCCAGAAGGATCTAGAGGCGCGGTACGACGCCAAGGTCAAGCACCTGACCGCACAGATGAAGGGTCTCTCTGATTCGCTCATGGCCGAGACAACCAAGCGGACGATTGTGGAGAACATCCGCCTCAACAAGATGATCGAAGACATGTCGGTGAACAACAAGGACCTCATCCTGGAGAAGGAGCAGATGATGGTCGAGCTGCTCAACCTGCGCCGGCAAAAAGAGCTGCTGACTGTGTCGGAAAAAGTGCTCGCCGAGAAGATGACCAACGCCCGCAAGGTCATTAAGCGGCTTGCCGACAAGATCCGCAAGCTGGAAAACGGCATGCGTCGCGAGGCCGACGTCGACGTCCAGGTCGAGTCGGAGATTGTCGCTCTGCAAGAACATGTCATTCTGCTGCAGAGCCAGCTTGCCACCGCCCAGAGCGAGCTGCACGCAACCGAGGAGAACCTTGCTGCCGAGCGGAGGCACCGCGAGGCGCTGCAGCGCGAGCAGGACTCGTTTCTATCGATGCTTGAGGAGGCTGCAGGCTTTATCCTGGCCTGCCTCCAGGATGTGAAGCAGCAGCTAGCGCTCGAGCGCGAGACCAAGGAGCTGGCGGCGTCGGCCGAGCTCCGCCGGTCCGAGTCGTCGCTCGCCAACCTGCGGAGCGGCGGGGGCAAGGACTCGACCAACGACGCGCCCTCTGGTGCCGGTGCGGACAGCGACACTGTGTCGCTCCCGCCGTCGCTCACCGCGCTCACCTCGGCTGAACGGGAGAACGTTCTCGAGTACCTACTCAAACAGCTTAACGCGCTGCAGGTGGTCGGTGGCATGCCTCAGTCGGCGTCCGCAAGCAAGACTGGGAGCAGCGGACAGGCGCGCGGGGCGTCAGCGGAAGCGGCTCGCGGCTCGCGCGGCTCAGCCGGAAGCAGTGGCCCAGCGTCGCGCGGCCGGGCATCGGCAGCATCGCGCGGCTCGTCCCGCGGCGGCTCGGATGGCCGACTCTCGGCCTCGATCTTCCGCTGGGCCACGCCGTCGCCGTCACCAGGCTACTACACCGGCGAGCACCGGCCGACCGTGACGGTGGCGACCCAGACCGTGGCGAGCGAGCCGACCCAGCTCTTTGACACCCACCTCGGAACAGGCTCCAAAGGCGCGTCGTCGAGCGATGAGGCCCGCGCGTACCGCCGAGCCGTCCTCGGCGACGTCCGGCCGTGGGGCGCGCCGGCGCAACAGTTGCCGCTCACCAAGCGTGGCCCGCGGATGTTCCTGCGCAAGGCCGGGACCGGGCCGGCTGCACGACGGGCACCGTCGGGCGCCTCCAGTCGGAGCTCCAGCCGGACCGGAGCGGGCACCCTCATACTTCCTCCTGTTGTTGGCTCGCGCACAGGCGCGTCGTAGGCGGAGCTCGGTGGCTCGGCGTCGTGCTTTTACCGTACTCAGAACGAGTGCTTGTGCGGCGCTGTCTCGCGGACGACGCGAGCGGCCAGAATGTGGCGGGTGTAGAGAAAGTCGAGGACGCAGCCGCGGATGAGGAAAATGATGAATCCGATAGCGACGAGCTGGACAAGCGCAAACTTGATCGACTCCCACACGCCGGGCTTGTACTCGAGCGAGGCCATGGGAACGTTGACTGTGGCGTGGAGCTCGACGCCCGGCCCGGAGCCGATCTCGTAGACCGGCGGCGCACGGAGGACATACGACGCCGTCACGTTGCGCGCGTAGTACGCCGAGGTGAACGACGAAAAGGCGAGGTCATCGTCGCCGCGGAGCCCGCCCGCGTCGATAGGCGACGCGCCGTACCCCGTCATCGTCGCGCCGTCCATCGGCAGCTCGCGCATCGGATCCAGCACCAAGTCGCCCACGGTGGTGATCTTGGACGCTCCGGCAGGAACCGGCAACGAGAGCACCATCAGCGCTGACGACGAGAGCCGGATCCGCTGGTCAAGGTAGAGCGAGAAGACAAGCGCGGCGTTAAAGTGAGTCGCCGACGCACCCGATGCAGGAAGCCGAGCGCTGAGCTGAACATCAAACGCATCCGGATAGCCATCACCATTCGAGTCGGTCTCCCGAACAGCCAATTGCGGAGCAAGTCGCATAGCCTGCGGCACCAGTGCATTGTACGCCGGAATGGTCGAGTACCGATAGCGGAGAAAGGATGACGACGACGTGCCGGCGAGCTCGAGAACAGCAGCCTTTGTGTACGCCACCTTTGGCTGCTCGTAGTATGTCTGCCGCCAAACCCAAAAGTTTGAAGTGTTCCAACAGAACAGCAGCGTGATGACAATGGCGAGGATGAGGGTGATCAAGTTAGTCAGCGACGGTGTCGACAGAGACGGAGCATGGTACCGCTCCAGGAGCGCGCGTTGGTGGACAACAGTCATGCTTTGCCACAGAGCCAGTCAACCAGACAGAAGAGTATGAGGATGATGGGTAGGGCGGCGGTGGTGGGGGTGGGGTGGGGGTGGGGTGGACGAGTGGCTGGCTGCCGTTGGGTTGTCTTCCGCTTGTGGTCGTCGGCAACGTGGTCGTCGTCGGGTGGTTCGGTCGGTCGGTGGGTCGGGTGGAGTGGCCGCGTTTTGGCGCGTAAAATATGGGGCGGGTGGGGGGTGGGTGGGTGGGTGAATAAAGTTTTTTTGGCGGGACTAGCTCTGTCTGTCAAGATGGATGGACAAAGGCGAGGAGATGCTAGAGGTTGACTCAGGATGGCGTGCGGAGTAGCGTTAGCTGGTTGGGGGGTGAATGAAGGTATGAAAGGTTGTTGTGATGGATGGAGAGGTAGGAGAGATCGGAAGGAAAGCAGTGGTGTCACAGAGTGTACTATTAACTAAAAATTGTATCTCCGTTTCCACCCAAATTCACTCCTCAACGGTCGTCGCTTCATTCGCGGGGACATTCGGGCGCGCTCAGCCGCAGCCCGTCGGTCAAGGCCAACTGGACGTTGCACAGCGGGGCAGACTCCACTTACGCACACGCACCAACACCACCACATCACGCCACCGGCGCTACACACACGCTCCTTTGCACAGAGAACACGTAGTCGGGAGCTGCGGTGATTTCTTGGTCAATTTGACAACGGTACTTCTGCTGCACCGGCCCGTGCGACCTCGACACGGCGAGACACACACGCGCGACGGCCGCATCTTTGACCGACAATGGGCACAACTGTGTCAGGACTCTGGGAGCCACAAAGCAAGAGGAAGCTCAAAGCGCTGGGCAAGGATGGCTTGTTCACTCGGAGCCAATTGATTTTGCTCAAGAAGTTCCTCCGTCCTGCTGCACGTCGCTCTGCTGGCGTCGTCTCGCGGCGCTCGTGGAACAAGGTAGCGCTCGACAAGGTCGGCATTTCGGATCGGAGGCCAAAGAAGGTTCGCAAGGCGGCCGAGAAGCGGGCAGCAAAGTGGGCCAAGGCCCATCCGCGCATTACATCAAGCGGATCGGAGAGCTCGGGGCCACCGAAGAAGGGCAAGGGTAAGAGCAAGGGCAAGGGCAAGGGCAAGGGCAAGGGCAAGGGCAAGAACAAGCATCGAGTCACAGTCTTCAACTCGAGCATCTCATCCGGTCCGATCGAGTCGTCAGACTCGGGCTCGGACTCGGACTCGGGCTTGGACGAGGAGGAAGAGGAGGCGTCGAGCAGCTCGATGACGGCGTCTGGGGTGTGGTCGTCGTCAAGTGAGGGGACCGAGTCGTCGCTTGGACGCGACGGGCACGTACCGCTGGAGCACATGCTCGACATCACGTTTGATGCGTTTGCCGACGTCAACGACCGGCTGGTGTACAAGGAGTTCTCGGTGTATGTGGCGCTGGTGGCGATCAAGGGTCGGCGACGCAAGGTAGAGAAGGCGCTCAAATTTTTCGAGCCCGACGTGACCAACTTTGAGTTCCGGCACCTTCTACTCTTTGCGTTTTCGGTGGTGCGGACGCTGGAGCGACTGCGGCTGGCGCTGCCGGGCATGCCGTTTGCGCGGAGCGATCTGGAGCTGAACCTAAGCGAGACGCGGAAGGAGAACATCACCAAGGCGCTTCTGAAGCTGTTCACAGACGCCATCGGCGACGACGACGCACTGCTGACCGTCGACGAGGCCGTCTCTATGTTTTGCTCGCCCAAGATCAAGGGCGCACTCGACTACTTTCTGGCGATTACCAAGGCCATGCCCGACGACGGGTCGGATCCGATCAATGAGATCCCGCTGTCGCGGACAACGCGCAAGGTGCTGATCAAGGCCGGCGCAGACGTGACAACCGGTGAGGTCATGACGAGTGAGAAAGCCCGACACGTGCTGGAGAAGATCGGGCGGCTCGGCCTCAAGTACGAGACGGCTGTCGGTTATGAGCCTGTCGACCGCAAGCCGGGCGCCGAGGTTGTCGCCTTTTTCAACTCGAACGACGACATCATCTTTGCCGTCGAGCGCCAGACGGTGCCCAAGCCGTCGACGACCGACGAATCCGGCTCGAGCAAGCGCCGCAAGCGCCGCCGCCGCAAGGTCCGCACCAAGGTCCGTCGCCGGCGCAAGCGCTCCGGCCGCGGCTCGGAAACGAGCGAGACTGGCGCCGGCTATGCGACCGCCTCGTCCGACTCGAGCCGACCGCAGCTCTCCGAGTATGCTGCTGTATTTGACAAGACCAAGGTTGTGGCGACGTCTGACTCGAGCTAGTGAAAGAGAATGAGCGCTCGCACACACAGAGAGACATGGGCGTGAGCGCCGCGCGTGAGCACGCACGTCGCAACACGAGCGCATCACGTACGCGGCTCGGTCGGTGCGAGTGAGACATACACGACCGATGCGCCACGTACAAAGACTTGCGGGAGATAGCGAGTGCGGAGAGCGGTGTCAGGCGCATCAGCAGACAGACGGTAGCTCTCGGTGGCGCGAGCAAGGACCAGATTAAGATGTTTGTCAAAGGCAACGAGGGTGCCGACCCAGGTCCCGCGCATCGCGCTCAGCGCGCGAATGCCGACCCGGACGCAGGCGCCCGCCTCGTAGGCAGCGACGAGCGCGTCGAGCGGGCCCGGCGGGTGAGTTCCGGCAATGAGATCAGCCATCGGTGGCCGATGGGCGCGCAGAGCTGCCACACGAGCTTCACGCTCGGCCGCCGTGGCTCTGCGACGACCTGCATTTGCTCGAGCGTTCTTGGACCTTCTGATGACGGTTTCTGTCCACGATGCGGTCGCCAGATGGCCTTTGCCCGATCTCTTGCTCTCGCCTCGCTTGGCCTTTGCCTTGATCAGCTCAGGTGGGACAAGCCTCCGGCAAGCAGCGATGTTGTCTCGCGCCAGCGCTCGAGGGAACGGCATGGTCACCGCAGACCGCGGAGCCGCGAGTGCCGCACGCGCGTCAAACGCCACCGACAAACCATTAAGCACGTCCTGGCTTGACTCTCCTGCTTCACTTCTCCCGCTATCCTCCATGGCCACCTCCATGGCTACAGACGTGAGCATGGGTGTATGGCAGCGGCTGCGGGCGAAAACGATAAAGTTGTTGGGACAATAATCGTAGTGCAGTGTAATCGATGGACATCGATTAATTAGTGTAGTCGATGGACATCGATCAATAACGCCGCCCAGCACATGCCCGCAGACTCGATTAATCGTTGCCCTCTATGATAAACATCGTTCCCCTCCACCACACCGCGACAGTGCGGCCGGGTGTGACCGAGTCGCACTGCCGCCACACAGACACGCACACACTCACGCACACACACACATACTTACATACTTACATACATACATACATACACACCTCACTCGGCACCACTTGACACAGGAACTGGGCAAAGATGGCGGAAGAGGAGAACTTGCTCAAGATGCTTGCGCGGAAGCGCAAGGCCGAGCCACGGACCGAGTTCCCCGTGGAGCGCATCGAGGTGGAGAGCGAGCATGGTGACGACGAGGTGTGGCTGGTCAAGGTGCCGACAGCCATTTTGGCCGAGTGGAGGACAAAGGCAAACAGAGACTCGCTGGGTACGGCGACGGTCATGCCGGCAGATCCCAAGGCTGGGCGGAGAACGTCCGAGTTCCACGTCGACACTTCGGGCATGACCTTTAGACTCCGACCGGGCCGCTCTAACATCACTGCCCAGGTCTTCCGCGAGGAGACGCTTGCGGCTGTTGCGCCTGGTCAGCCGCGCAAGCGCAAGCTCCGCCTCGACGGCAAGGTCGTAACGCGGACAACTCTCACTCCGCTCTCCAACTCGGACCGGGCGTATCGTGAGAAGCTGCTCAAGACCCGCCTCGCCGAGGCTACCCGGAAGGACGCGCACACAGAGGCGGTTAACGAGGAGGATCTGAAGGGCACCTTTGCTGAAGAGTCGGTTACTGCGCCGCAGCTTCCAGGCGCGCCTGAGATCGCACCCAAGCCGGCCCGGGCCGAGATGAAGGTCGGCATGGTGCACGACCAGCTGCTTAACGTCCTCTCCACGCTCTTTGAGCGCCAGCCGGCCGGCCGCAAGCAGCTCTCGCGCGCAGAGATCGAGCGCGTCATTTCGGTCCCGGGTGCTCAGCTGACACGTGCCCTGCAAGAGATGTGCGTCCGCATTGAGACTGGCGAGAACCGCAACAAGTACCGCCTCAAGGATGAGTATCAGGCGTAGTAGCCACCGTCGCCGATCGGCAGAGTGAACATTGTCGAACCGATGAGCATAGCAGTGTGTTCAGATACATCCACAGCCGTGCCCACAGCTTGCACACATTGGAGCAGCCGGGCGCTGTGTCCATGGCGACGCCCGTTGCACTCTCTGGTCGCCGCCATCAAGGCTCCGGCTCGACAGCAACAATCCGCGGAATGTCGCGGAGCTCGGCTTGCATGCAGAGATGCTCCGAGAGGAAGACCATGCCGACGGCCGACGCCACGTTGACGATCCACCACGCCCACGTCGCCGGCCACCCGCCCGATGCCCAGCAAAAGGCCAAATGGAAGAGATAGAGCGAGACGCAAAAGTCCAGACACTTCTTGGCCCGACCCACCAGCCATCGAATGGCGAGCGCAGAGAGCGCAGGAGCCGCGAGGTAGGCGAGGACGACGAGCCAACCACGAACGATACGCACGTCCATGGCATCAGCCGAGAGCAGCAGATGTAGTGTCGGCGGCGCTGCCACACACCAGAGTAACAGCATCATCACAACTCCAGCTGTAACATAGAAGACAGCCGTGAGCGCCACAAGCTGTGCCACAATGAGCCATGGATCAAACACTGCCGGTTGCCAGCCCATGTTGCCTTTGTCTCTCCCTCGATGGCCTCCGCCCGAGCCTTGCCTTGGCTAGTCACCCCGAGCAAGACAGACCGAGGAGAGAGTGTGTACGAGCTTGCTCCTATCCCCTGCAACAAGCACTCAATGTGCTGGCGAGGTGTGGTTGCTCTCACTCACCTCGCTCTTCCCCTTCCTCTCCTCCTCCTCCTCCTCCTCCTCCTCACCCTTGCCCTCGACTTCAGAAGCCGGCGTCCGACACGACTTGCTCGCGCGCGCGAGATCGTCACTGCCGCGACACGCTCCCATCACACAGGCGGCGAGCACACGCATTACGCACCCACAACTTTATCATACCCAAACTCATCGCGCTTCTCATCAACCAACCACACGTTTATCCCGTGGTGGACCAAGTCGTCTTGTTCCTGGCTCAAGGCTCAAAACTCCCGCCTCGCACGCGCCAACGCCCGAATGCCGCTCGCCTGCCACGCCGCCACTGCCACCGCCAGGCCACCTCCCTCCATACTCCTTCCTCGGCTACTCCGTCTGCACTGGCGCTGGAAAGGCCATGGACCTCGAGCCAGAACGGGCCCGCTTGGAGGCCGAGCTTCGGAAGCAATCTCAATTGCGGCGGCGTGGGCCAAGCTCTGGCTCACTGCTGCGCTCACGCTCGCAGCCGCGGCAACTGACCACGACATTGCAGTTCGAGCCAACACGCTCGCGCCGAGCACTGCCTGCAGCTCCAGCACCTGTGCCAGTCCCGGCTGTTTGCGACTCGTGCTTGCAGTCGTGCCGGGCAGCCTCGCCGTCGTCACGCTCTGGGAGATTGTCTTTGGCAGAGCTGGGCGAGTCGGCGCCGGCGCCGGAGCCGAAGACGGAGCCGGAGCCGCAACAACCGGCGGCTGAGCAGATAACGTCCACTGCCATGTCGCGGGGTAATGCACCCTTTCGTGACGCATTTGAGGCCAAGTACTACGCGGCTCTGGACGAGCTGGAGAGTGCGCGCCGCGAGGCGAGCAAGGCTGCGCTGCGCCGGGCTGATGAGCTCTCACAGCGCGACGAGGCGCTGGTCGAAGCCAAGGTCCGCGCTGCACGCGCCGAGGCCGAGCTTGCAGCTGTGCGATCTGCCTTTGACGAGCAGCACGTACGGATGGCTGGTCTCGAGGCCGAGACGCGGGAGCACGCGGCGCAGGCCGTACTGATATCGGACAGCGCGTGTAGCCTAGGGCACGACTGCGCAGTGCTGCAGGCACGCCTCGACGCCGCATTGGCTGCGGCCGAGGCCGCGCAGGCTCGCGCTGCGGAGCACGCCAGTGCACTCGCTCGCGAGCAAGATTCCCATGGCGTGACTGCAGCCAAGGCAAGCAAGCTGCTACAGGAGCTGCAGGAGCAGGAAGCTCAGCTGGGCGCCGCCCGCGCCGCCCGCCGCTCGCTTGCCGAGGCCAACGCCATGCTCGAGGCGGGCAAGCGCGAGCTCGAGGCCCGCCTCTCGGCCGCCACCTCGCGCATCGCCGCACACGAGGCCGAGGCCGCCGATCTCAGCGCAACGAGCGCGTCGTCGACGTCGGCTGCCAACGAGCTCATCGCCAAGCTCGAAGCCGCCCGCGTCGACGCCCGCGCCGAGGCCGAGGCCAAGGCCGTCGCCGTCGCCGCCGCCCGCGACGCCGAGGCCAAAGCAGATGCCCTCGCGAAACGGGTCAAGATGCTCGAGGCTGCGGCAGCTGCCGCCCGTGATGCGCGCCAAGGCGACCTCGGCGCCCTTGTTGCCTCGTTGCGGACCGACAACTCACAGCTGCGTGACAAGGTAATTCGGCTGACCTTGATCAACGACGAACTGCGCCGGGTCACGGCCACGCCTGGTCACCTGTAGCTAGCCACGCTCTTCCTGCCATCTTCACCCACCGCCAAGCAGTAGGTGTGCGCGGACAAAGTCGCCCCACAAGGTCGTCATCCCGCACGCCGGACACACCGCGTGGGTCGGCAGCAGTTCACCCGGATCACGCGCCAGCGAGGCGCGCGCAAGGCATGCAAGATGATACGTTGCGCCGCACTCGGGCGAGACGCACTCGGCGAGCTCCTGCGCCGACGACGCCGCGTCGCACCCGTGGCATGGCACCTCGGGCGCCGCTGCCGCGAGCCGCGAGCGGGCAAGTGGCGACGCCGCTGCCGCTGCTGCACGCTCGGCCGCCGCTTCCGCACGCTCTCCCGGTGTGAGCTCGAGGTCCGACGCGTGGATGAACCGCTTGGAGATGTAGCAGTAGAGCTGGGCCATCGAGCCGATGGCCACCCGCATGTGGCGCGGCAGCGGCGGCAGGCCGGCGAGCGAGGTGAGCTCCGAGTGGTGGAGCGGGTCAAAGAAGTTGACCTTGAGCGGGAGGCGTGCAAACGGTGGGAGCGAGAGCATCTCGTACAGCACCGCAAAGACCGTCGGCAGCGCCTTGGTCTTGGACCGCGGATGATGCCGCATCTTGCCGCCCAGCGCGCGTGTAGCCGGCACATGGCCCTTGAGATGCGACGATTGCGTCGGATGCGTCCAGTGCCACTCAAACTGGAGGGCAGAGACTTCGGTGGTAAAGCCGTAGACAAGAAGGACCATGTCCCATGGCCGCTTCGACTTTGTCTTCTTGGCTCCGCCGGCAATCTCTCCGTTGTGCTGCCGCAGCCGCCGCCGCGGATCGTTGGTGTACCCGATGTACGTCTGCCCACCGGCAGTCTCTGACAGCGAGGTCAGAAGGTAGCACGCCCTGAACTCGGTCGTCGGATGCGGCCCGCTCTCTGCGCCAGTATGTCCACTGCTGCCGGCCGTGGTCTCGTACCCGTCGCCCAGTCTCCCGCCCGGGCCGCTCTGCTCCTCTTCGCTCCCCGACCAGCTGTTGTCCCCGTCAGCCATTCCCGACGGCAGCACCTTCTTCCCCCTTTTGCTACTCTGTCTCTACAAAAGGCGTCAGATGTGGTCGTAGTCGGTAGCCACAAGACCACGACCACAACCACAACCACGACCACGACCACGACCACGACCAGGTGGTCACCAATCGGGGCCCCAACTCTACGACCTTTTTTCTGCCCGCGAACAGGCCGCACACACACACACACACACACACACACACACACACAAACATACATACCGCTATCGCAAAGCCATGTAATCCCACGTCACACGCAAATCTCCAACCGCTGCCTTTTCCGCACACTTCTCCTTCCGGCCAGGCCCACCAGCCTCGCCTACCAGTCCCGCCCACTTTCACGACCTTTTTTGGCCGCCCCGCTTCCCCGCCCACCACACACACACACACACACACACACACGCACACACTCAACACACATACGCACGCACACAGTCAACACACATACGCACGCACACACACACACACACACACATACACACACACACACACATCATGGACTCAGCACCGCGGTTCGACGACCGGGCACCGCTCGGGTGGGCGGTGTACTTTCCCATGCTCGGGTGCGACGCGAGCTCTGCGCTAGTGCAGCTCATTCGCAACTTTGTGGTGTACTTTAGCGAGAAGCATGTGCTGGACAAGGCCAAGGTGCTAGAGAGCCTGGTGGTGTACGTGGACTGGGGCGAGATGGTGGCCGAGTCGCTTGTGCCAGGCATCGACGAGCTCGTGTTTGAGGATCCAGCGCGGTCGCTGGCAGCCATGGCGGTGGCGGCGGTCGAGGTGGTGTACAGCGACTGCGTGGGCACCGGCCTCCCGGCGTCGTTCAAGAAGATCACGGCGCGACTGTGCAACCATCCGACGACGACGCCGATCCGCTCGCTCAAGTCGCACTACATCGGGCGGCTGGTGAGCGTGCGTGGGACAGTGGTGCGGACGAGTGCCATCAAGCCGCTGGTGGTCTCGATGGACTTTGTGTGCACCAAGTGCGACGGGGTGATTGGCATGGACTTTGTCGATGGCAAGTACTCGCCGCCGCTCTCGTGCGGGCTCGACGGATGCAAGTCCAAGACGTTTGAGGCCGACCGGGCGTCGGCGCTGACGGTCGACTGGCAGAAGGTTCGGATCCAGGAGATTCTGGACGACTCCAACTACGAGGCCGGCCGCATTCCGCGGACCATCGAGTCGGAGCTGACCGGAACGCTTGTCGACTGCTGCGTGCCGGGCGACGTCATCTCGGTGACTGGTGAGGTCAAGGTCGTCTCGTCGTCGAGCTCGGCGTCGGCGTCGCGCAAGGCCAAGACGCTCTTTGTCCTCTACATTGACGCCAACATGGTGTCGCGGCAGGGCAAGACCGGCGAGAGCGACGGCATGCACTACACCGTCAAGGACATGCAAATGGTCAACGAGATCGCGCACGTCGACGATGTCCTGCATCTGCTGGTCAACTCGCTGTGCCCCTCCATCTACGGCCACGAGCTGGTCAAGGCCGGCTGGCTCCTCGCGCTCTTTGGCGGAACGCAGAAGTTCTCGCTGGAGAAAGACCGCATTGCGGTCCGTGGCGACCCGCATGTCCTGGTTGTTGGCGATCCGGGCATGGGCAAGTCGCAGCTGCTGCGGTCGGTGGCATCGGCCGCGCCGCGCGGCGTGTACGTGTGCGGCAACACGACGTCGACAACCGGCCTCACCGTGACGCTGCTGAAGGACCCGCTCTCTGGCGACTACGCGCTCGAGGCTGGCGCTCTTGTGCTCGGCGACCAGGGCTGCTGCTGCATCGACGAGTTTGACAAGATGAAGTCGGAGCACCACGCGCTGCTCGAGGCTATGGAGCAGCAGTCGGTCTCCATCGCCAAGGCCGGCATCGTCGCCAACCTGCCTGCCCGGACGTCGGTGCTGGCGGCGGCGAACCCGGTCGGCGGCCACTACACCCACGCCAAGACTGTGGCCGAGAACGTGCACCTCGCACCGGCGCTCCTCTCGCGCTTTGACCTCATCTTTGTTCTCGTCGACAAGCCGGACCACGAACGCGACGCCAAGCTCTCCGAGCACGTCATGCTCATGCACGGCGGCGGGCAGTACTCGCGCAAGGGCCGCCCCTCGTCGACGTACTCGGCGCTCTCGGCGTCGGGTGTGCTCGATCCGTCGTACAAGTCGCAGCTGATGTCGGCGCTCGATCGCGCCACGGCGGCGACGGCATCGACGGCGACGGGTGCCCGGAGCAACGAGGCCGGATCCGGCGAGCGACGGCCGCTTGCTGACCGGCTCAAGCTCCGCAAAGCCAAGACCTTTGACCCACTTCCACACGTCCTCATGCGCAAGTACATCGGCTACGCGCGCGAGTACGTCAAGCCGGTCCTCTCGCTTCCGGCGGCCGACCTGCTGCAGGACTTTTACCTCTCACTCCGCAAGTCGCACGTCGGCGGCGAGTCAATGCCGGTCACCACCCGCCAGCTCGAGTCGATGATTCGTCTCGCCGAGGCCCGCGCCAAGCTCGAGCTCCGCGAGCTCGTCACCGCCGACGACGCCCTTGACGTCATCGAGCTGATGAAGGAGTCGCTCATCGATGTCTACGTCGACGCCAGCGGCACCGCGCTCGGCGCCCGCGCCGCCGCTGGTGGCTCCAAGAAAAAGGTCATGAAGGCCTACGTCGGCGAGCTTACCCGCATCTCCGAGGCCACCTACAACTCGCTCTTCACCATGCAGCAGTTGTACAAGGTCGCCACCGACCTCGGACTCGCCGCGTCGGACTTTCGCGACATGGTCGGCCAGCTCAACCAGCACGGCTACCTCATCAAGAAGCGGAACAACGTGTACCAGCTTGCCTCATCGTCGGTGGCCGATGGCGGCTGGGCTCCGAGTCAGGCTTGACCCCGCACCTTCTCTATCTTCAAATGGCAGGGTGATCGGTCTGCGTGTTGCGGCTGATTGCTCGAGCTCTGCTCGAATCCTGGCTCGTCGACCTTTTTGCTGTCGTCTCGCCCTCGCTTTCGCCCAGCGGAAGAAACACGTGTCCTCAACTCTGCCTGCGACAAGTACGTCGTCCGTGCCCATTGTGGGGAGGAGAAGGGGGGGGGGGGGGGGGGGGGGGGGGGGGGAAGGGCGAGGGGGAGAGGGAGAGGGAGAGGGAGAGCGAGGGGAGGAGAGCGAGAGGGAGGGGAGGGGGGCGAGAGGGGAGGGGGGCGAGAGGGGGAGGAGGAGGCCAGCAGGTCAGCAGAAGCAGGCAAGAGAGGCCAGAGCACGGACATCACACACACACACACACACACACACACACACACACACACACACACACACACACACGCCATACATGCATCCGCATGACACTCATCCCCCACCCCCTCCACACCACACACCCCACACCCCATCCCGACAGTGGCAAGTGACCAGGAACCTGCGTATCGGTTCGCGACGGACCTATGGGACGGATTTGATGTGGTTGTGGAACATACCGACACGGGACTGCAAGCACTCAAGGAAGTGACGAATGTGATCAAGAAGCGGGCAGAGCTCGAGCTCGAGTACTCGAAAAAGTTGGCCAAGCTGGCGAGCCATCCCTCGACTCGGCGAGTCTTTGAGACGACGGGCAACTCTATCGAGTCACAGCAGCTGGGAACGTGTGCATCGGCGTGGACCTCGTTCTTGGATGCGTGCATGGAGCAGGCCAACGCGCATGCTGACGCTGCCACTTCGCTGGATGAGACGGTCGTCACCTCACTCAACTCGTTCATCAAGGACATGGAGTCTGCCCGCAAAACCATTGTCGCCGATGGCCAGCGCCGGTTGAAGGAGAAGAAGGAGGCCGAGGACGCGGTGGCCAAGGCCAAGACAAGCTACTTTAAGGCGTCCGAGTCGTATAACTCGGCCGTCGCCGCCCACGACGCCGCGCTCAACAACCCGACGGCCAAGACCAAGGACGTGACCAAGGCCAAGTCCAAGATGGCCAAGGCGTCGACCGCGCTGGAGCAGTCGGTCCAGGAGTACCAGTTCCAGGTCAAGGGTGCCAACAAGGTCCAGACGCGGTTCCTCTCGCGCCACATGCCCAAGATCATGGACGACCTGCAGCACCTCTCCACTGTCCGCATCCACATCCTCAAGACCAACCTCCGCAAGACGGCGCTGACACTCGAGAGCCCGCCGCCGCGGACCGCCAAGGCCGTTCTCACCTTTAAGGGTGTCGTGGCCGCCATCGACAACGACTCGGACATGCGCGCGTTCATCACAGAGAACAAGACGTTCCAGCTCCCGCCGCCGCCGTTTGAGTTTGAGGAGCACGGCGCCGTCGGCGCTGCCCGCTCGAAAAAGGCCAAGCGGGGCGCGGTCGAAGCCAACCCGGCGACCTCCATCTTTGGCGTCTCCATCGAGGAGGTGCTCGCCAAAAAGGTGGCGTGCCACCCGGCCATGGGCAATCTGCCACGTCTCATTCCGGTGCTCTGCCACGGCATCCTCGCCAAGGGCGGGCCCAAGGCCGAGGGCCTCTTCCGCCTCTCGGGCGAGAACAAACTGGTCAAGGACCTCAAGGCCAGGCTCGATGCCGGCAACTACGACGTCGCCGACATCGACTCGGTCCACGTCCTCACCGGTGCCCTCAAGCTCTGGTTCCGCGAGCTCAAGGACCCGCTCATTCCCGAGCCGCTCTACGACCAGGCCGTCGCCGCCGCTACAGAGGCTGACGCTGCCGCAATCTTCAACGATCTCTCCGCCCCGCGCCAGACCATCATCCAATACCTCATGGGCTTCCTCGCCACCATCTCCACCCCGGAAATCGTCACCGTCACCAAGATGACCACCGACAACCTCGCCCTCATCTTTGCGCCCTCGTTCCTCCGCTGCTCGGACCCGGCCCAGATGATGGTCAACGCCGAGCGCGAGCGCGTCTTTGTCAAGCTCCTCTTCCTCTGGCTCTCGGCCCAGGACACCACCGCCGCGCTCTACGCCTCCATTCCCGCCCCGACGCCGCCTCGGCCTCGGCCTGACATGCCTCGCTACCTTGTTGTCAATAAGAGCACCATCACCCACGGCTCCGCCTCTGCCTCTCCCTCATTGCCAATTTACAGCTATTGCTCATCGCCACCTGTAGCCATACCTGCAGGTGTATGGAAATAGATAGCTGTTCACTGTGGGTATGGCTGCTACAGCTTGTACCGCCACCCTTGGCCGGGCCCTCGGTCGAGCCCTGGATCGAGTCGTCAATACTGGAGATGGCGAGAAGCTGCTGGTGCGTCCCTCGACTCGCGCCGCTCGCGTCGTCTTCTGCGCGAATCGCCAACTGTACCGGTCAACGACGTCGGGCGCATCGCTGACTGACCATACCGCGGCGGCGGGCTAAGTGCCGCCGACTGCGAGCGCGAGATGGGAACAAGCGCCGCGCCGCGGCCACCCTTCCCGCATATCGAGCTCTTGCCCGAAGGACACCAGTCCGATCCGGTCTCGACGGTGTGGGCCACAGTCGACAATGTACCAAACTCGGTTGCAGCCTCATCGTTGGCGACAGCAAACTTGTCCATCTCCTCCGAGAACGAGAGCGAGGAGCACGACGGCGCCCGGATCGTGTCTGGCACCTCCAGCGAGCCCGACGATCCAATCGCGGGTGCGAGACGGGTCCACGATACCTCGCCGGTTGCAAACCTGGGCGAAGCCGGCGGCGAGACGACCTTGTGGGGGACAAAGATAAGCGAGAGGGTATCGCCTGGAGTAATGGGCGTCAGAGTGTTCGAGGCGTACTCGACCTCGGTACCGTTGACAAACAGGGCCCAGTAGTGGAGCGCATCGGCCGCCACACCCAGGGCAGACCCGATGGCCACCACCTTGCGGCTCAGCATCTCGTCCCAGACGGTGGTTTCCGTCAACTCGAGGCCGGGGAAATGTTGGTTGAACGCCACGAGGACGAGCGTGAGAGTCAGACTTGGTCGACCAGCAGCCTTGACCTGTTGACCGAGACCAGCATCGGCACACATGGTCTGGAACAAGTCTGTCGAAGGGTCAACCGTCAACGGATACATGCGCCATGCCATGTCTGGGCCTGGCTTGACACGAAGGGTAAAGGTGCCTGTGGGCCGGGTGCTTGACTCGTGGGAAAACTCGGTCAAAAACGTGCGTTCCGACTCGCTGGCCCGCACTCCTTCAACCGCACCATGAAAAAGGGCTTCGGCTTCCGCAAAGGTCGAGACCGCGGGGTCTACATGAGGCGTGTATTTGAACTTGGTCGCTCTGGCATGAGCCGAGCGGGATGAACCACATCCCATGGTGTACTTGTGCGAGGTGAAGGTTGTGGTTGGCCTGTGGCTGTCTTGTCTGTCGGTGACACCGAGATGACCAGACGGAGGCAAGTGTGAGCTGACAGGACCACAAAAGCCCTGCATGATTGACAGGGAAGGTGACAGTATTGTACAACAATCCACTTGATCAGTTGGTGATCTTGTCAACTCGCTCCACAAAAAATCTCCGCACTATTGCGGGACAGCTCCCCCAAAAAACCCGCACGACCGTCACGTGCGCGCCGGGGGAAAAGCCTTGCGACCATTGCAACGTAAGACTCGTGGCTGAGCGCGCATGATGAGTACCTCGGCACACACTCACAGAAGTACGACCAGCACGGAGCCAGACCGCTTCGACTTCATATGAAAGATCATTTGTTAAACTCCTTCACCCGATACGGCTGCTTCCGCAGCATGCCGCCGGCCTCACACACCCACAGCCGATCACAACGTCGAGTCGGAGAGCGACTCGTCCGCGAGTGCACCGGTCGTCTTTCGCCTCCTGCTCCCGGCACCAGCACTGCACCTCGCGTGCCTGGTCCGGTCGCCATCACAGTGCTCGACGCCGGCCGAAACAGCGGTGACCGAGGCGACACTCAACAGCACCGCCGCCGACCCGGTCTCGGTACCCATGCGACGACTCGAGTGATACGATGAGCGCGGAGGAGACTTGGCCGGCGCGCTGCCGCTGTTATCGGCCGACGAGACAAAAGAGGTTGTCGTCACGTTGCCTATCACCAGGCTCTTCTCGTACTCGGTCGTCGACATGCCCGTTCGGTCCCAGCCCTCGTCCCCGGCAATCATCGTCTTGTCGTGCGAATACCTTGCCGACGATGAGCATGAGAGCGAAGATACGAGACTCTGTGCGCCCGAATGCGCCATGCGCGGTGTCCCGTGTGTGCGCTTCTTGACATAGTCGAGCTGGATCACATCGCCTGGGCCGATCGTCGACAGCGTCATCGTCGCGTACTCGACCGCCTCACCATTCATGGCCAGCTGCCACTCGTGCGTCTCATCGACCACCACCCCGAGGATGGAACCAAGCACGCACGAGCGCGACTTGAGGTCTGGCTCCCAGAGCGTCGTCTCGGTAATGTTGAGCGTCGGGTACGTGTGGTTGAACGCCGCAAGGAGAACAGTCAGTGCGACTCCAACGCCGTCAGGATACCGGTCACTTTTTCCGCCTCCTCGTTGACCATCGTCCCGCATGCCACCCGCTCCGTTCCCGCCCACCCGTACACCCCCCGAGGCCACTTCCGAGAGACTGACACTCGAGAGCATGCTGCTGAGCAGCAACGAGTCCTCCTTGACCGGAAGCGGGAACATCCGCCACAAGCTCTGTGGTCCGGTCCGGACTTGGAGCTGAAAGGTGTACGTCCGCGGCTTGCGGGACTGGTCAACCGCCCCAACAAAATCTGCGCGGTGCGGCGTATTGTCAACCTGCCCACCACCATGCCCAAACGCACGGCTTGGCCGGTGCATGGGGCCCCTACGCCCACCCTTGACACGCGAACTTCCACAGCCCATACTTGTCTGGCTTGAGCACGGTTGTAGACCACACCGTTGCTTTGTTTTTCAAGTTGAGTGATACAGACCGGCCTCTTACCCGCACCTTCACTTTCTGCCGCCGGCCAAATCCAAAGACTGACAGCAAACGAACACCACGTTTCCTTTTTTCCTCGTGTTCCCGAACATGTCAATCCTTCCTGTCGAACGCTCGTGAAGCCCCGCAATCTAGCACAACCGAGCCAATTTGCGCACCCGCCAATACCCGCGACAAAAATATTTACACCACCCACCCACCCACCCACCCACCCACCCACCCACCCACCCCCACCAGAATCAAACTTTTTCCCCTTGCCATGGCGCCCTTTCCGCCCAAGTCATGTTCTCCCGATGCGCCGCCTCGCCTCGCCTCGCCTCGCCTCCCTGGCCCCAACTACAACTACACCACTTCCATCACAACCACAGCCACACCCATCCACATACACGCGTACACACAACTCTTTCCCTCCCTCCCTCTCTCTCTCTCCCTTTCCCCCCCCCCCCCACACCATCCGCCTCCCCCTACCCCCTACCCCCCCCCCCCCCCCCTCCCCGCTACATGCTCAAACCCTCGACCCGCCACAATATGAACAAGCCGCCGTCTACAGAGAGCGACATGTACGCTTCGGAGCAACGGAAGCGTGAAGCTCGTCTTCGATCGTTTGGAGGTCTGGCTTCAACAGGTATGGGTGGTGGTCTTGGTCCTCGCTCCGCTGCTTCCTCGTCTTCCGCCACTGCCTTCTTCCAGCAATCGGCTGACCCGCCGAGCTCCGCCGCCACCGCCACCTCGTCATCATCCGCTGCTAATGATCCTGTGGGTGACCGTCCTCCTCCGGCAGCTACCTCCATCTTTGATCTCTCTGCTGCAGAGACTCAGCCCGCGCAGCAGACGGATGACGAGGCCGGGCACAAGTCGGGTCGCCGTCGTCGCAGGCGCAGGCGCTCGTCGGTTACCGGTGCAAGAGCCGCACGGAGGGCTGGTACACCTACGCATGATGGCGCATCTGCCCATGCAGAGCCGCTGGTCTTTTCGAACCCCAAGGGCAAGGTCGCCCGTGATCAGCCCGATCTCGGACCCGAGTCGTCGGCCCATGCCGCTGCCCTCACCGCTGCCGCAGCAGACGGCGGTGTCATCGCCAACCCCACGTACGGCCTCGACATCTCGTCCTCAGGCTCGACCTCGGACTCGGCGTCGGAAGACCCGCATGCGGGCGCCGTCAACTTTGCCGGCGCCGGCTACAACTTTGGCATCTCGTCAGACTCAGAGTCGGCAGACGCCGATCATCTCGCTTCGGTCCAGACCTCGCCGCATCCGGCCCCGCCGCCGCCGTCCTCTGACCCAGACGCCATCCCGGTTGACCTCGATTCGCCCGCGGGATCGTCCGCCGCTCAGGCAACGCCTGCTGCTTCGCCTGCAGACCTCGTCGACTGGACCGACGTGCGCTCCTTCCTCATGCGCCCTGTCCCGCCCGGACACATCTTCAAGTGCAAGGTATACCGCGAGCGCTCTGGCACCGCCCGCTTCTTCCCGCGCTTCTACCTCTACCTCGAGACCGATGACGGCTCGCCCGAGCGCTTCCTCATGGCCGCCCGTAAGCGCAAAAAGTCCAAGGCCGCAAACTACCTCGTCTCCATGTCGCGCGAGGAGCTCGACCGCTCCTCCGCAGCCTACCTCGGCAAGGTCCGCGCAAACTTTGCCGGCACCGAGTTTGTCCTCTACGACGACGGTGACTCGCCCGATAACGACGCTGCCGGCGACGACGACATCCGCGCAGAGCTCGGTGCCATCGCCTACCTCAAGAACATCGCCGGCCGCAAGGGCCCGCGCCAGATGCGCGCCATCCTTCCTCGCGTCGTCCCCTCCCAGGAGAGCCCCGGCCGCTGGGTCGCCCTCACCAAAGAGGCCTCGCTCCTTGCCCGTTACCGCCGCGGCGACGTCCACGACACAATCGTCCTCGAGAACAAGATGCCCACCTTCAACAAGAACCTCGGCTCCTTCTGCCTCAACTTTAACCGCCGCGTCTCCGCCGCCTCGGTCAAGAACTTCCAGATGATCCTCGCTGACAATCCTGACGCCATTGTCCTCCAGTTTGGTCGCGCTGGCGCAAAGAACGATCGTAAGAACGCGTGCTTCATCTGTGACTTTCAGTATCCGCTCTCGCCCTTCCAGGCCTTTGCCCTCTCGCTCACCTCGTGCGAGCGCAAGTTTGGCCTCGACTAGCTGTACCTTTCCTCCACCGCTAAACGCTCCTCTGGTTCACTGGCCCCGACTAACCATCCAGCTCTTCACCACCCGTCCGTCGTCGCCGCCGCTCATCACAGCCAGTCCTTGTTCCTCCGCGACGCCCTCGCGTTCGCCAGCGCTACCGCCATGCCCAAGTACAACCACGCTCCGCACCGCCGCAGCTTTGAACAGCGCACGGCTCCGGGTGTGCACACCATCCAGAACCGCAACAACCTCCAAACTTCGCACCCTCCGCACCACAAGCCCGCCGCTGCCGAGCCCGGCCACAGCCAGCTCGCCGCTCTCATCAAGTCCGAGCGCCGTCACTCTCGCCTCGGAGCCAGACACAGAACTCGACGGATGCGCCCGCACAAGATCCTTCTCCAGCCGTTCGCGCCCACGCACACTCACTAGCTGACCCTTACGCGTCCCCACAATCAGCATGTGTGCCGCGCCAGAGTAAACCATGCACGTTCCGCCGCCAGACACATCGCGCGTCTTGCGCCGAGGCGACGCCGCCTCAGGTGGCACCCCGTCTACAGCGCCCATCACGCACACCTGCGACGCCGGCCCGCTCTCCATGTCCAGCAGCAGGTCCCAGAACTTGATCGATGCCCGCGAGTCTGGCCCGGTCGTCGCCACCACCGTCTCGCTCCCAAGAAACGCAAGCCCGCCGCTGCCGGTCCCGTCCATCCGCTCGTGCGCCCGGACTCGCGTGCAGAGCTTGACCACAGGCGCTACCCGGACCGCGGACGACGCACTCACCGCCATCTGCACCACAACACGGTAAACAGAGAGCAACCCGCTCTCATCAAGCGTCGCAAACTTCGCCCCGCTCGGCGAGAAGCTCACCGCAACAACCCCACGCGCACCGCTCGCCACAGGCGTCTGCAACTGTCCGGCCTCCAGGCCTCGCCCCAGTTGCCACACGCCCACGCCACCGTCCTTGTCGCACACTACCACGTACCGCGAGCACGGCGAGACACCAACACACGACACGCTCGACACTGCGCCTGCAAGCGGTGATGCAACAGACACCGTAGCTGCACGTGGCCGCCCGTACATCGCGTGCGCCGAAAACGGCGACGACACCAGTGACTTGTCCGCCGTCCCCCTCGCTCCCGCCGCGGCTTCTTCCATCTGCACCACCTCCACAGAGCCCGCACGCGCCACAAGCACCGCTCCCGCGCTCTCGATCATGGCGAGCCCCACCACAGCTTTGGGCCCGGTCTCCGGCGCACCAGCCACAAGCCTCTCGCCGGCCCCACCTCCCAGCCCGCCGCTGGTCCCGAGCCCGAGCGCCCGCCACACCACTCCGTCTGACCCGGGCATCTGCATCATACGCACCCACGCCTGCCGCTCATCCTGGTCCGAAAAGTGAAGCGCGGCCACAGAGCCAAGATACTTGCCGAGCCCGACCTCAGAGCCGCCATGCCCATCCACATATGACTCAGCCCCGAGCTCGAATCGATCGCGCTCCGCAAGTCCGCGCTCCGTTACTCTCCTTGCCCACTCACCGACAATGTGCACTGCACGGCTCTCCAGCTTCTTGAGGCCCAGCACAGTGCTCAGACTCGCCTCGGACACCTTGAGCCCGGCCGCACCACGGATCGCACTCGTCACCCCCGACGCCATGTCGTCCGCATGCGCAGCCGCCAGGAGCATCCGCAGCACCTCGCGCGGCCCGCCGTCGACAGCAGCCGCGCCTCCGCCGCCAACCGCTACCGCCGCCAGGCACCGCCCGCCCGCTCCAACACTGTCGGCCACGTCGCCACTGCTGCCGCCGCCGAGCGCCGGCAGCGGCGTGTGCACAAGATCTGCCGCGGCCGCAAGCGCACCCACCTCCAGCGCGCAGCACACCGCAATTGACCGCCCCACAACTTCGAGTGCGTGCAGTACAAACGCCCACACGTGCTCAGCCTCGCCCTCGCCTGTCAGATCCTCGCCGAGGCGCAGACACTCGTCCATCGCCCGCGCTACATGCGCACCGGCCACTGCTGCCGGCCCATCGCGCGTGCACACTTCCAGCGCCACAACGAGGTCGCGGACTACCAAACACGCCGTCGTCAGCTTCTCGTCCGGGCTTCTCTTCACCACACTGCCATGCACTCGCGCAAGGAGCCGCGCACGCTCCAGCGCTCCGTCGAAGGCCTCAACTCCGCTCACTGCAGTCATTGCGTTGGCAAGCTCTGCCACTCGAGCCTCATCCACCTCGCGGTGTCCGCTGCTGGCCATCCACTCGGTCACCCAGTCGGCAAGAAGTCCGCCGAGAGCCGCCACCGCCACTCGCGACGCCACTTCCGACACTCCAAGCTTTCCGCCGCCAGTCAACACGTCCGCGCCTCCGCCATCCCCGCCCCGTCGTCAACATCAGAGTCAGAGTACGAGTCCGAGAACGACATCATTGCCGCGTAGTTGGTACGTGGCGGCCCGTTGCCTGCTGCTGCTGCTGCTGCCACTGGCGCGGCTGCTCCCAAAGCCGCTGTAGGGGGCCGGTTTGCTGCACCTGCGCCGCTTGCTTCCGCAAGTGCCAGTGCACATCCGGCCGCTGCTGCTGCAAGCTCCGGTCGCTCCGACGCGAGGTACGTAAACATCAGACCGGTCCATGCCCTCAGTTGCGACGGCTGTGCCGCAGGTCCGGCGCTCGGCTGAAACGAGAGTGGCGGCTGCGCAAGCAACGCCGCCACCGCCTGCGGCCATGCCGTCGAGCCCCGGATCCACTGCAGCGATGCCGGCGGCGGTCCGGCGCTCAGGTACTCGACCACCTTGCCCCGAAGACGCGCCACAAGCAGGCCAAGCCATGCGTCACCGGTAGCATTGTTCGCCAGTCGCGCCAGCAGCTCGGCTTCCTCCGTCGAGCCAAACCCGTGCACAAGCCGCACAACCACGAGCGCAAGCTGCGGATCGCCGAGCCGATCGAGGATGACCGCCACCGCGTCGTTCACCCGGCCGGCGAGCACAAAAACGCCGCCGCGTACGCAAACCGTTGCTTGCCCATCAGTGCATAAGCGTTCTTCGACGCCGCCTTGGCGTGTTTGGCCATGCCAAAGTCGCGCTGCATAAACTTGGCCATCGCCATGTTGTGCGCTTCGTCGCCGCCCTTGGCGTTCTTGTACAGCTCCATCAGCACCCCACTCTTGCCCAGCGCAAGGTAGAAGAGCGCAGCCTGCGACGGGTCCTTGCCCACAATAAACTCGGCCTTGGCCACAGCCTCCACTCCGCGCTCCAGCAACGATCGCGAGCCAACCCACCACCCAAATCCAGCGCTCGCTACGTGCCGCCACACCACAGGTGTACCCTCGCTCAGCACATGCTCCACCAGTGGCTCCTGGCACTGAGACGCCGTAGCCCAGAGCGCGTCCGCCGCAGACACTTGCGAGGCCCGCTCCGCAGACCGCCCGCCCGTCGACGCCGCGAGGAACCGGAACCGCCGCAGCGCGAGCAGATACTGCCGCCCAGCGTTGTCAAGCGATCGCGCGTAGCCCTCGGCCTTGCCCAGCGCAGACACAAGTGCTGTAAGCTTGAGCTGGTCGAGCGGACTCAGCCCGGGTAGCGCCACCTGCATCAGCTCGGCCTCCACCCGCTCGTACAGCGAGGGCTCGTCCTCGACGACCATAGTCGGCGCAAGAACTGGCGCAAATGCCGCAGATCCACTCCTGTCTGCCCCAAACGCCGCAGGCATCCGCGAGCCCATCAGCCCGGGCAGCGCAAAGTCATCGGATCCAGACTCCGAGTCGGACTCGCTCGCCACAGCAGCGGCCTGCGCCGCCACATGGCTACCACTCGACTCGCCGCTGCCTGCCACCAAGTCCGACACGCTTCGCATTAACCGCTGCTGCCCAGCAGGATCACCCGCCAACGCGAGCACGTGCTCCAGCACCTCATCGACACGCTCAAACTCACCGCCGCACACCCGGGCATGCAGCACGTCCGGGTGATAGTCCGGGAGCGACGGCGCAGCAAGGAGCGTTGCGGCGTCGACGCGACCTGCCAGCACAGAGCCGCCGCCCATCGCCACAAACACCTCGCCGTCTTCGGCCATGGCCAGCCCACGCGCAGTAGCGCCACCTGCCGCGCGCCACCAGCTCCCGCCAGCGAGCTCGGCCACCACCTTGAAGCCGCGGACAACTCCGCCCGAGGCTGCGGCCTTGACCACCGCCATCCCGCCGTCGCCTGCAATGGCTAGAGCAGGCAGCGCCCCAGAGACTGCCGCCGGCCACCACCGCGCCGCGCGCACCTCGGTCTCTACTTCGGCGAGCTCGACCATTCCCTCCTGTACAAATCTGCCGGGCTGAGATATGCCCTCCCAGACGCACGGCCATCTCGGTCCGCGCCCCAGCAAAGCAAGACGCAGTCCGTCGGGCGACGGCTCCACAGCTGTTGCACTGCCGTCAACCACAAGCGGCGCCGAGAGCTCCACGCCCTCGAGCCTCAGCGCCGCCCCCTCGCGCTCCACCCGCCAAAGCTTGATCGTCGATAGCGGCTCACACTCGCCGCCCTTTTCCTCAGCAGCCTCGCCGAGTGCAGCAAGCTCGTACACCGGCGCAGGACACGCGCTAGTTGCACAGCTCGAGGCCAGCGCCGAGTGAGGGACTCCCACACTCTGTGTGGGGCTCGGCCATGCCTCATACCCGGTTCCTTCCACGACGGCCTCCCCATCGCTGCCGAAAGCCAGCTCGAGCAGGTGCGTCCCGTGCGGCGAGCCGCAGGCGACAACAACCGCACCATCCATGCTCTGCGGCGTCAGTGCCGCAAAAACCAGCGGCGGCCCCGGAACAGGCGGCTCGAGCGGCGCTGGAACGAGAACGCTCAACGTGACCGAGACCGTAGCGGCAGGCACCGCAAATGCTCGACACACAGCACCGCTCACAAGCCCGCCGTCAAGGCCAAGGCCCACAAACCGCGCGGTGCTCGGATCGTCGCTGGCGGAGGCCGGCAGCCAGGCAAGCGCCGAAACCGGAACAGACGTCACAAACTCCAGCCCGATGCTGTTGGACTCGGGAGCGAGCATGTTGGCCACAAGGCCCGGCTTGGCACTCCGCCACAGCGTGACGCCCAGCGGGCGGCTCCGCGCCAGCGCAACCAGTTGCACTCGATCGCCAGTGATCGGGCAGCTGAGGTTGTGCGGCGTCGGCGAGACCGCCGCCAACGCCTGGCCGGCATGCACAAACGACGACGCCTCGCACAGCACGTGGTCGCCGCAGCCCGGAAGATTCACCGGAAACGCGGTCGGGTCATAGAGCGGTAGCGGCATGGGGTACCGATCGCCGCTGCGAACGTCATGCGAGGCACTGGCACACGCTCGGATGCTCGGATGCATCCGGTGCGCCACCACGCACGGTGAGAGATCAACCAGCAGCGACGCCAGTCGCCCGTTCTCGCCAAACACCCGGAGCGAGAACGAGAGGTGGCCCGGTGACTCGGGGTAGGTGTGGATCGAACCGGGCGCCACCGCCGCAGGAGCCAGCGGCAGAGGGATCGGCTCGTCAAACGCCCGCCGCGTCCGCACCAGCTCGTCCGCTCCGGCCGCCGTGAGCGACCACAGCATGAGCCTTGCGCCGTAAACTGCGCCAAGGACGTGAACTCGCTTGGTGCCAAACGGAAAGTGCGGCTCGGGCGCACGCTGCTCACCTCCAATCGCCGCGGCGTGCTCGGCAGCCACAAGCTCCGAGTAGCAGGCGAGCGCAGGGTGCGACGGTGCCCAGAAGAGCATCGACGGCGCCGGTTGGTGCCCTGTGTCCACAATCGCCGCCACCGACACATTGAGCGCCAGAGTCGTCGAGCAGACATGCGGCCGCACCACACGGATCGAGCCGTCGGAGCACGCCAGCGCCAGCGCAGACGACGTCGGGTCGGGTGCAAAGGCGAGCGAGACAAGGCTCGCGTCCGCCAGTGGAAGTGTCGCCGTCGACGTCGCCGTAGACGTTGTCACCAACGTCACCTGCCGCCCACCCTTGGGCGCAAACGCCAGGTACGAGCCAAGTGATGAGAGCGCCATCGTCGCCCGCGACGGCGGCGGCGTGCATCGAACCGGCACGCCGACAGCCGCCTTCCCGCCTTCCTGCCGCGCCAAATGAACCACAACCACCAACGATGCTGACGCCAACGCCAACGTCGGCACAGCCGCAGCCGCAGCTGCAGTCATAGCTACCGGCGCTTCCGTCAGCCGCCGATCAAGCGCAACACGCTCTTCGGTCCACACCCGGCCAAAGCCATTACCGCCACCACTGAGCTTGTGGATGACGAGCCCTTGCTCTTGCGAGACGGTAGCAAACACGCCAAATCCCAGAACAGCCATCAGCGGAGGAGAGAGCGAGGATAATGATGACGATGACGACGATGGCGACGGTGACCATGACGATGATGTTGCCATTGTGCTCTGGCTGAGCATGGCTCTGTGATCATCATGATCTAAATTGGCTCCTGGTCTGGATAGCTCATCACGGCTGTCTGCGGTGTCGTCCCCTGGCTTGCCCTCGGTCCATTCGCTCTCGCCAGTCACGTGTGACGTAGAGCCAGTCCTGGTAGTTGTCACATGGCTGACCGAGAGCCTCGGGTCAAGGACCACCACACAGCCTGAGGACGGGTAGACGACGTGGTCGCCCGTAGCGGTGGTGAGGGTAGCCAGTGAACAGGCTGGTGTGCTTGGCGGAGGGACACAATGCTTCATCATGTCGAGAACGTCCAGAGCGAGGTTGGAGACAAGCGGTGGGTGATCTCTCGGGAGCTGCTCGGGGGTTGGTGGTGAGGCGTGGCAGGGAGGCCGAGTCGCTCGCGGCGGATCGTTCGGTTGGCGCTGACCAGTCGGTGGTGACACTGGCTGGTGCGATGGCGGGAACGGCAATTGACTAAGCTTGTAGATCAGGGACTCGGGTAAGGCACACAGCTAGTTCTGCTGGTTGCAACACTCTGAGGGAAGTTGCGTTGGAGGGGGGGGGGGGGGGGGGGGGGACGGAATTGGTGTGTGACTGATCTGGCTTTGTTGGCGTGCTGGTATGGTACAAAACAAAAGGATCTGTCGATCTACTTTGGCATCGTCGCAACATACGCGAGTGACGGCGCGCTGGACGTGGTGGGGATGGGAAAAGGCTCGCGATGGAGTGCTGTGTTCAGGAGATGTGCTACCCAGTGCGATGCGATGCGACACAGTGCGATGCGGTGCAATGACGGGCTGGTGCGCGCGTTCAGTGGCGCGTTCACTTCCAGATTACAGGTCGTCGCCAACGAGAAAGTCGTCAGCGCCGCCTATGACTTCGAGGTCATCAAAGCCGAGGTTGAGATAGCCGAGGGCGTCGGTCTCGGGGTCGAATGAGTGTGGGAGGTCATTGGCGGAGAGAGAAAAGTCCTGCGACTGCGGTCTGCGCGAAGCGGAGCCATGTGGGCGAGAGTGAGCATGGGCGTGAGAGGCACTAAGCCCGACAGCGCCGTGGCTTGTGGGCGGGGCTCTTGAAGCTTGGCCGCCCGCGACGCCCGAGCCCACGCCGCGCGAGTCAAAACGGGACGGGCCGAGAATGGAGGAAAAAGGATCGTTGAACGAGTCGGTGAGAGCGTTGATGAGGGTGGCCGACGATGCCATGGGCACCGAGCGGCTCAGCGGCGACGAGGCGGCCGAGTGGACCTGGCGGGCCTGGTGGGTCTGGCGCTGTCCGCCAAACGGCATGGGCACGGCTCCCTCGACTGCCATGGGTGGTGTCTCGGTGACAGGGGTTACCGGCTTGGAGCCTGGGGTGGGCGACGTCCGCGGCGAGTGGTTGGACGAGGAGCGCGACGACGCCACGTCTTCGCCAGACTCGAAGCGCCGCTTGCGCTTGCGCGGGGTAAACTCGCCCTCGCTGAGGGCGACGGACGACGACTCGGACGCACGGCGGGTCATGAGTGAGAGGCCGATGTGGCCCACGCCCGGCCTGGGCTCGGGCCCCGGCTCCTCGCCGGCGGGCCCGCCCAGGCCGCTTGCGGCAGCTGGACGCTGCGGCTGCGGCTGTGGCTGGCCCAGTTCGACAAACTCACGGAGCTTGTCAATGGAATTGGTGTCGAGGACAGTCTGAACCAGCTTTCGCAGCTTTTCGTTCTCCTGCTGGACGGCGTGGATGTGGTTGAGGAACCGCGAGTTGGTCGAAAACAGCCGCGCCGCGTTGTCCTCTGCCATACGCACCTGCGACTGGAGCAGGGCCACATTGGCCTGCAGCTCCCGCACGTAGTCGACTGTCTCCAGCAGAATCTCCGCCTTGGTCTTGATCCGCGGCTTGTCGTTGGGGTCGTCCGGCTGTGCCGGCACCAGTTCGCGGAGCTGGTTGATCGTATCCTTGATCAGCTTCCGCCGCTTCTTCTCCGTCGCACGGTGCGCGAGCTTGATCTCGCCGGGCGTGTCGCCGACCGAGCCCTTACGCGAGCCTGCGCCCGAGCCCGAACCTGCGCCATCGCGCGAGGGCGAGCGCTCGCGGGCTGAGTTGGGCCGCGAGTGCTCCGACTCGGTCCGCGGCTGGCCCTGCTGCTGGCCCACGTCATTTCCACCCGAGCCCGACATAGCCATGACAGGGAGGGATGGATGGAGCGGGAGCGAGGGCATGACCATGCCGTTGGACAAGCCACGCGAGGCCGCCGCCTGCTGCATGACCCGAGCCTGATGCAGAGCATGCTGCATTTGTTGCATATGATGCAGATGTTGCATAGCCACCTGTTGTTGTTGGGTTGGATGGCGAGTCCCAGCCATACCAGATCCTCCAGACGGCGTTACTTCCATGTCACGAGCGCCACTTGCCATGTGGGGAGTCCAGAGGTAGTATTCCTTTCTCACTTGTCGCTATCTCGTCCTCTCTCTCGTCGTTTTGCGGTCTTGTCGCACTGCCAGCCGCAAAGCCGTCAACGTCTCCACACACACACACACACACACACACACACACACACACACACACACACACACACACATAAGGTGCG